GGGGGGGGGGGGGGGGGGACTGGATAGAGGATTCGTGATGGTTAGAATAGTGAATTATTGGTGGATTCGTCAGTTTTGTACTCTGAACTTCTGTCACTATTTAAAATTAAACACAGAGAAGATTTGACACCTTTCTATTTTCAATAGTATTTCTGTTGGGTTTTATTGGTTTTTTAGTGGTGACAGTGATCTCGATCCCATGAGCAAGTTCATAGATGTTTTTATGCTTGTAAAATATAAGTATAACGAAGTACCATATATGGTATCCAGACCCTTGGGGTGTGCAATGTCACATGACAGAATGTCAGGGTAGGATGACGTTTGCAATGTCACATGACAGAATGTCAGGGTAAGATGACGTTTGCAATGTCACATGACAGAATGTCAGGGTAGGATGACGTTTGCAATGTCACATGACAGAATGTCAGAGTAAGATGACGTTTGCCATGTCACGTGACAGAATGTCAGGGTAGGATGACGTTTGCAATGTCACATGACAGAATGTCAGGGTAGGATGACGTTTGCCAAGTCACATGACAGAATGTCAGGGTAGGATGACGTTTGCAATGTCACATGACAGAATGTCAGGGTAGGATGACGTTTGCAATGTCACATGACAGAACGTCAGGGTAGGATGACGTTTGCCATGTCACATGACAGAATGTCAGGGTAGGATGACGTTTGCAATGTCACATGACAGAATGTAAGGGTAAGATGACGTTTGCAATGTCATATGACAGAATGTCAGGGTAGGATGACGTTTGCAATGTCACATGACATAATGTCAGGATAGGATGACGTTTGCCATGTCACATGACAGAATGTCAGGGTAGGATGACGTTTCCAATGTCACATGACAGAATGTCAGGATAGGATGACGTTTCCAATGTCATATGACAAAATGTCAGGATAGGATGACGTTTGCAATGTCACATGACAGAATGTCAGGGTAGGGTGACGTTTGTCATGTCAAATGACAGAATATCAGGGTAGGATGACGTTTCAAAAGTGTGCAAACGTTGAAAAAAAATCTAAATAAGTTAAAATAATATATCTGTGACAGGCACAAAGTGACGGTCAGAATCTGACCATCAGAATCTTAAGACAGCATGTGAAGGACAGCACATGACAGGCAGAATGTGACAGCCGGGATATAGGGCTCATCATCTGAGTAAAGCCACGGCTGGGATGGCCCTGACCCAACAGCACTGAAAAAATAGCATTGTCCTGGTATTTAGCATGCTATGGCAACCTATGTTTACAAACAATTAGCCACACACACAAAACACCCCCCCCCCCACACACACACAAACACCACCCAACCGAACACGTGGATACGGGAAAGTTATTGGAGACGTTCAATATCACATTTTAAATAATAAATGCCATACGCTACAGTGTGACGTTAGAAGCAGCAAAGAAAGAAGTGGTAAAAAATTGGGTTGGGGTGGGGGGGGGGGGTTGTTGGTAAAGTGTTGTTCAGCTATCTATGTAGTACACGCCTCCTCACTCTTGAAGTCTTCAACAGTTGTAATGTGATCACGATCAATCTATAAATCTTGGCCATGAAGACATGGCATGTCAAAATAAAATTGTTATGAAAGCAGCAAAGAAAGAAGTGGTAAAAAATTGGGTTGGGGTGGGGGGGGGGGGTTGTTGGTAAAGTGTTGTTCAGCTATCTATGTAGTACACGCCTCCTCACTCTTGAAGTCGTCAACAGTTGTAATGTGATCACGATCAATCTATAAATCTTGGCCATGAAGACATGGCATGTCAAAATAACATTGTTATGACGCCAGAGCTTACAGTGCAGTCACCGACAGTCACAGGCCACGGGTCATTATGACCTGCTGGTCGTGTGGATGACGCTGACACACAGCTAGTATCTTTGATGGTGTGATCACGGCGAAAGACATCCGCCATCCAGGACTGACCGACCCAGACAGTAGGAGAGTCCAGCAGTGTGAGAACCCAGCAGATCGGATGGGTCCAGCTTTGTGTGACCCCCGTCTTTATTGGATCCCAGCTGTATATATTGTGACCGGTGACTGGTCGGGAGGGTCCAGCTTTGTGTGACCCCCGTCTTTATTGGATCCCAGCTGTATATATTGTGACCGGTGACTGGTCGGGAGGGTCCAGCTTTGTGTGATCCCCGTCTTTATTGGATCCCAGCTGTATATATTGTGACCGGTGAATGGTCGGGAGGGTCCAGCTTTGTGTGATCCCCGTCTTTATTGGATCCCAGCTGTATATATTGTGACCGGTGAATGGTCGGGAGGGTCCAGCTTTGTGTGATCCCCGTCTTTATTGGATCCCAGCTGTATATATTGTGACCGGTGAATGGTCGGGAGGGTCCAGCTTTGTGTGATCCCCGTCTTTATTGGATCCCAGCTGTATATATTGTGACCGGTGAATGGTCGGGAGGGTCCAGCTTTGTGTGATCCCCGTCTTTATTGGATCCCAGCTGTATATATTGTGACCGGTGAATGGTCGGGAGGGTCCAGCTTTGTGTGATCCCCGTCTTTATTGGATCCCAGCTGTATATATTGTGACCGGTGAATGGTCGGGAGGGTCCAGCTTTGTGTGATCCCCGTCTTTATTGGATCCCAGCTGTATATATTGTGACCGGTGAATGGTCGGGAGGGTCCAGCTTTGTGTGATCCCCGTCTTTATTGGATCCCAGCTGTATATATTGTGACCGGTGAATGGTCGGGAGGGTCCAGCTTTGTGTGATCCCCGTCTTTATTGGATCCCAGCTGTATATATTGTGACCGGTGAATGGTCGGGAGGGTCCAGCTTTGTGTGATCCCCGTCTTTATTGGATCCCAGCTGTATATATTGTGACCGGTGAATGGTCGGGAGGGTCCAGCTTTGTGTGATCCCCGTCTTTATTGGATCCCAGCTGTATATATTGTGACCGGTGAATGGTCGGGAGGGTCCAGCTTTGTGTGATCCCCGTCTTTATTGGATCCCAGCTGTATATATTGTGACCGGTGAATGGTCGGGAGGGTCCAGCTTTGTGTGATCCCCGTCTTTATTGGATCCCAGCTGTATATATTGTGACCGGTGAATGGTCGGGAGGGTCCAGCTTTATGTGACACCGCCTTTCTTAGATCCCAGCTGTATATATTGTGACCGGTGACTGGTCGGGAGGGTCCAGCTTAATGTGACACCGCCTTTCTTAGATCCCAGCTGTATATATTGTGACCGGTGACTGGTCGGGAGGGTCCAGCTTAATGTGACACCGCCTTTCTTAGATCCCAGCTGAACATCGGTCGGTGATGAAGTTTTATCATTCATTTGGTTCAACTTAAAAGCTTGCCGTGCAACCTAGCAACGTCTGACCACCTTCTAGGTCCGTCCACCCACCCACCCACAGACAGGCGAGAGAGAAGACTGCTGCAATGAGACGGCAGTGTCACCAGCACTTGAAATGAGACGTCACAGTAATCCCCGACATCCTCCTACGATGACAAAACGATGAAGATGAACAGCTCTCGGCGTGGTCACGTGGCGCCCTTGACCTGATTACACCCCCCACGACGGAAACAGTTCTAGCTGCATCCACGTGACCAGGCAGCAGGCAAGTGACCAGTTTAACCATATTTGGCTGCTAAATACTCTCTAAGTACAGTCGAACCCGGTTATGTCGACGGCCTAGGGGTTTGCCAAAAAGCGTCGAGATAACCGATGATCGAGATAAACGAAAACCAATATGACGGCAATATATTAACATGTGCTTGAACTTTCTTTATGTACAAGATGTGCGTTAATAAATGTAGATACTTCAGTAAAGAATTTTATTTTTTTAATATTGCAGTTATTTAGAGCAAATTTCGAATTTTAAAAAAAATTGAAACCAGAATCAAATCTTTAGCTTAGATCTAAGTACTTTTTGAGCTACACATTTTTTAAAATACGAGTTCGTTTGGTATTTTCTACTATGGACGATGCTTCCCATTGTGTGACCTCATCCCGCTGATCGCGTCATGCGCAATGACTATATAGTTTATAAGGCGACGCATCCCTTTATTACTAAAATACTCTCTAGGGACTTCTTATTTTGAACTTTCACATGACTATTTAATTAAAGCTTTCCTTGACCTAATGGTTTCATAGTTTAAGCCAACTCTTAGGAATGAAACTAGGAGGTTAGTACCACGGCATAGCCATTATGCAAGTGACCGTGAACGGCTGCCCATGACAACGTTTTACACACGGCAAATTATGATCATTTCTACTGTGGGACTCTACCGGTTTTTTAAACCTCAAATTAAAACATATTTATTTAAGTTACTTCTGGATTCATTCTAAAACTCAAGCCCTGTATTTTGATGAATAAATAATTATTTTTAATTATGTAAAAAAAACGTGTTTATTTGTTGTTTATTGTTTCTTCTTGCGGGGCTCAAAAGCCGGCGATTGGTCATGGGGATTGAGATAACCGAGGTTAAGTTGCAAATTTGACCGCCTTTTGTGCTCGAGATATTAGGGTCCGGCGACATAAAATAATCGACATAACAGAGGAGCAAATTTTAAGAGAAAGACAGAATTTGGCGGTTCCACGCCGAAAACCTCGACTTAACAGGGTTGGCGAGTTAACCGAGGTCGAGACAAGTG